TGATGGGGCCACTTGGGGCAGCAATTGGGAGGCTGGGGCAGGGCATGTGGGCCTTGCAGCAGGGGGGTGGTAGCCCCTGTGGGAGCCATTTGGCCTCTGTTGGGGAGGCCAGTACCCCTTACGTGGGGGCCATCACCTCTGTAGGAGGGCAGCAAAATATATATTCATGAAACATGTATTAGGCATTCACTTTATTATGACATGCTTTAACACCGTAGATATAACAATAAGAAAACATTGTCCAACTGATCTCTCTCTCTCTTTTGATTTACTTGTGGTGGAACATGGATTTGGCGTTATTTTACAGAGTGACTTTGGGGGGTTTTTTGTTTTTGGTTTGGGTTTTTGTTTTGTTTTTTGTTTGTTTGTTTCTTTGTTTTTTAAATCAGGGATTTTTCAGTTTTCCAATAAGGAACACCAGAATTCCTGCTAGGGAGGCCAGTGGCAGGGCCCTGCCTGCTCAGAGCTGGCACCTTGGACCCAGCTGGCTATGGCTGACCTCCTGGCCAGATAGGGCCAGGAGAACATGCTTTGACAGTTCAAAGCAGGCCACCATGCCCGGAACATCTTCCAGGTGATAGCTGCCCAGATGGCTGGGCAGGGAGCACATGTAATAGTAGTGCCGCACAGAGGCCTACCCTGCAAACACAGTCCACTGGCAGCTGGCCCAGAGGGACAGATGCCTCTAACTGGCTCTGCAGTCCCCATCCGGGTCTGGCAGGTGCACAGCAGGTCACAGCCAGGCAGCAGCCCCCACTGCCAGACTGCTGCAGTGGGTGGAGGGTGCAGGGATCTCTCAGGGATCCTTCAGCAGTCCAGCTGGCACAAGGGGTAGTGTCCCCAGGTACCACTTGGCTGGGGCCCAGAAGCTCCTGAGAGCTAGTAGCCCTGAGCTGGCTGCCAGAGCAGCTTTTTAAACTGCTAGGGCCAGGACAGGACAGCATTTTATACTGCTGGGGACAGCACAGGTGCTGGCCTAGGGCTCTAGCTCCCCCTGGCTGCAGATCCAGGATGAGTCAGCAGGGTTCTTTTGCCCCAAGTGGCACAATTTGCTCCACAACAAAGTACATGTCCGAGCACGTGCACTGAGGCAAAAAGCCCCAGCTCAAATTTGCACCGCTTCTATTTGAGCTGCTGCAAGTGCACATGCTTGAATGTGTGGACACGCTCTTTGAGGCAGGGGATTCCCATTGGCAGCATTTTTTTCTAGTATCTAGCACAATCAGGCCCTGCACTAGGGTTATCATATGTCCGGGTTTTCCCAGACATGTCCTCTTTTGGTGTTTTCCCATCTCTCCCCAGCCACTTTTTTTTTTTTTTTTAAATAATCAACAAAATGTCTGGGATTTTGCTCTGCCTCTGCTCAGCATCAAGCTTTTTTTCTGGCACTTTCCGGCTTGCCCTAGTAAGGAGCTGCTGAGCGCTGGATATGGCTGGCCCTAGCCGGGAAGTCTGTTGTGGTGG